GGGCGTTGAACTAGCCACCCATCCCTCTGCTTTCTGCATTTGCTGCAGCTTCTTGCTGCAAAGCCCCCTTCAGACTTGTTCTGGTTGCCTTGAATGAGTTTATCTGACAGCTAAAAACACAATTTATATCAAGGGCTGGCAAATCTGTCCCTCCACCCCCAAATTAATCCTTTCTCACACACTTTCCCTGTGTCCCCTCTGCATTTCAACCCTTCCTCTGCCTACATTGTGAACTAACGCCAAGAGCCAAGGCAACCAGGGCTGTTACATGAAAGAGTTGCTTTATGTCTGTTTAAACTGCAGTGTCCTATTCAAATAGACCTTATTGTTCAAAGGCATAGATCCAAATATAAAAGGATCAGAGAACAGAGTACCACACTGCACAGCTCCATGCATTACTCTTCTCCTATATAGCTATTTACCTCAAAAAATCCCCGCCCCACCCCCCAAAACTGCATTCAGCTGAAGATGCAACTTGGTTGCTGCACCCCAGGAGACTATAGGCTGAGCCAAAAATCAGCTAGCCCTGGATCAAGAACAATCTACAGGCATAATAAATTCATTGACAAAATACAATCCCACGTTATTCCTGGTTAATAAAAAATCATATCTTTTTCAAATCAAGGGTTTCCTCCAAATAAGTTTTCCTCCCAAAATTACTATGTTTAGGCTCTTACTCTCTCAAAAAACTTGCATTTATTTACTAAATGAACAAGACTGATGAAATACAGTAGAGACTATCACAGCAACTACCAAATTCCTCGACTGCAACCCGTTCCTCACCAGAAGGCATTTGTACTTTCTGGTGAACAGCCTGTTCTTACCCTCTACCACTCACTTAGCTTCTCACCTTACAAAATTACCTCTCTACTAAGAGAGGAATCCTGTCTTCAGTTTAACCACCCACTAGGAGCAGGGAAATTCTGCTCTGCACTGCCACCTGCAGTCAGACCCAGGGCTCAAACGAGACTGCTTCCTTCAGGCTTCAGTGCCTTCCACATTCTCCACAAAGACATTTAGCTTACATTTTTATATTCAGTTCATCCCACCTCACCCTCGCTGCCAGAACAGTCTAAACTATTTTGTGATTCTTCCCAGCAGAGTAAATAATAGTAACTAATATCCACAATTTCTGGTTGATTCAAGCAGGATCCACATTGATTCACAGCTATGAATCAGCCCTCACAATGGCTTCCTGGAGGAAGAGCGCTTTGGCCAAACCCTACCAAAAGAAACCGAGGCCTGGATAAGGTCAAAGACTTGCTAAAGAGAATGAGCATCAAAACCAGGTCTTCCCTCCCGTTTTGACACCAAGCTACATCCCCACAGGGCCCTTCTTTCTCCTTCTCCCTCCTTCACACACTGTGCTCCAGTGAACATAGATAGTACCCCTGCTTAAAAATACCACCACTCCAGTTATGAGTGAGGAATCTTATAAGGCA